AGGTGTTGGAAAAGTTTCTTTAAATTTTTTATGAGCTTATTTTAACTGTTCTCATTTTGATACATTTTAGCCATCAATCCTCTTTTACATTTATTAAACAGAATAAATTATTAATTTGATTGAAACTGTTATAACCATTTGCTTAAAATGACTTTTACCCTATAAAAATATTTTATATTGTATAAGAGAAGATTTTAAGAGTGAATCTGAAATATCAGTCTCAGATCTTCTCTATTTTTGAAGAAAAACTGATTCACTCAAAATTCAGACAGGTAAAATAATTACTCTTCCCTCAAGACATTTTCCTTTTTCTATTAAACTTTTTATTTACTTTCTCTTCAATCAAACATGAACTAAATATTGAAAATGTAATTTTTCTATTTTCTTTTACAATGTAGACTTTTCGGTTGTCCTGATCAGTAATATTAATTCTTCATTACATAAAACTCTTCCTTGTTATTATGCATTAAGGATTATTCATGACTTATTAACAATTTCAATAACATTTTTTTTTTTAATTATTAAGCTGATTGTATTACAGAAAGGCACCTACTTGATAAGGAGCAAAGATGACAGAAAGTATAAAAAGGAAAATCAAACTTGCTCACAATGGCTTGCATGATTGCCTCAGAAACCCTACCAGCATTCAATTGTTTATATTGCATATGCATGAAACAAACAAATTTTCATGAGAAGCCAAGTTTCTCAATCTTATCAAAGCAGAAAAAGTACCCTCAAGTTTTTGGGGTTGCATGGCTTTTTCTTCATGGGGGAATTTTGTTCATTCAATCTTTTGATTTTTTGCTTTTTTTTCCCCCTAATTTTTTTTTTCTCTTATGAATATTTTTTTTTTATTTTACAATTATGTGCACCCTATACAAGGCCAAAGAGCCACTCGAGGTAGAGGGTTACAAAATAAGAGGCACAATTTATGTGTATACCTTCTTTTTTTTTCTTTTTAAATCAATTCACTCCAAGGAAGGTGACAAGGCCACAAGGATGCAAGGGACCACTGGGAATGAAGAAGAATGAAAAGATTTTCCAAGGAACTGGAAACCCAATCCTAAACAGATTAAGAGATAAATCTCTTCTCCTGTTCAAAAGACTGGAGAGGAGTGTCAACAAGAAGATAGCTGAACATGTCTACTCCTATTGAGGAGAAAAAAAAAAATTAATAATTAGTAAATTCACATAGTTTTATCTACAAATAGTATTTTTTTTAACTTGAAAGACAAAACAGAAGATTTTCAATTAAGACAGGACAGGCAGCTAATGAAAATAGCTCATCTTTGTTGTCATATTTATCACAATGTTTCGGCCATTGTACACTCCGGCTTTCTTCAGGTGGCTGGAATGTCGAACTGAATCCTTTATTTCGCTTGCTGGGGTAGACTGTTCTAGTTCCACATGCCATGTCTAATGGATGTCAGTTATCAGTTATCTCCTGTTAATTCCCCTCTCCAAGTTCTCTACCACCTTAACTACACTCTATGGGTCCTGTCACTGGATCTAGTTGATGCCTTTATCCACTGTGCCATGTATCCTCATGGCACATGAAACTAGAAATAGTTTACCCCAGTGAGCAAAATAAAGGGTTCATTTCAACATTCCAATCACCTGAAGAAGGGCAGAGCATACAATAGCCGAAAGGTTGTGATAAATATGGCAACAATGATGAAGACGAATGCAAATAGTGTACATAATACCTCATCTCAGAAATATAGACAGATATTTAAAAAAGCTCACATGAATCATTTCTTCCGACCAACATAAGGGTTCAGATCATAACGGACACCTCTTTCTGCTTGTAATGTATATATAAGTGTTTTCTTAATGAAGCAAAATCACTATTCACTGATAGAATGAGACACCATGTAGTCTCTCACAAATTTGGTTCTCAAGATTACTGGTGGCTCTGTGTGTGTTGAAGGAAGTCAAATCCTCAATTATTTTGAAATATTTTCATTTACTGCTGATAAAGTAGAATGCTTCCCTTGGAAATTCTCTTCTAACTCCACTCTCGACTCTTGGGGTAGTATTTTGCCTAATTCCCCCAGAACAGTATCTCAACTGAGTGATATGTATATAACTCTGTATATACTTAGGTATGTAAATTAACTAACCTACAGATATTCTCTCTATGGTTTCTGCTTTCATCTCCAAATAGATCCACCCGCAGGGCTTGCAGACTTGATGGTAGCCCTGCAATTGTCTGAAAGTAATGTGTTCCTCAACTGGCCTTTTTTTCTCTCCACACTCTACAATAAATGTCTTCTGCTTCTTGCTTTCCTGCATGTTGGGAATTCTCTTCTCTAGTTTCTGTCTTTATGAACTTTGTCAAACCTTCTGATCCCTTAAATTATCACCCTTTTTACTCAAGGGCTATGATGTCTCAGGCCAAATATTTGACTTAATCATTCTTAACAAATCTTGTAATAAAGGTTCTGTTGATGCTAACCTCCAGGAGAGCAACTTATTACACCTTCTTCATCTCATGTTTTCCACTGACATGAAGTGGAATGATTATATTGAATCAATTGCTAGGTCTGCTGCTAGGAAAATTGGTTCACTCTGTTGTGCCAGACAATTTTTCTTGCCAGAATCCATCTTCCACATCCATGCATTGAATATCTGGCGTGGTGCTTCTGCTATATATTTGAGATTCTCAACAAAATCCAAAGGCTCTATAATGTTATTAGTTCTGACCAAGCATCTTCATTTCAGTCACTTTCACTGCTGTCACATAGCTTCTCTCTATTCAGTTAATCTTTTCATAGCAATTGTTCTAATGAGCTTTCTTCCTTCATACGTCAACCATATAAATTTAGGTGTACTAACATAAAAATTGTTAAATAGTTTTTCTTGTTTTACTGTTGAAATATCCAGATGTAACCATAAGTTCTATTCTAATAGTTTCTTTTCTCACCTGTGGAATTTTCTTCCAGTTTCATACTTCCCTGTCATCTACAATATTCAACAATTTAAATGCAACATCAGTCTCCATCTTCTGTCTTCCTGAACCAGGTTCTTTTATTGTCCTTTCTCCTTCACTTCCAGTAATCCCTTTGCATCTTAGTAGCATTATCGTCTTGCTTGGAGGTGAAATGATTTTTAAAAAAGGCAAAAAAAAGTCAACAATCATAGTACAAAAAAACATGATAAAGAATTTTTGTGTTATTAAAAAAATTAAAATTTGACTATAAAAATGAATTTCATCTTCAGTGCATTTATTTAAATCTTGTTAACAACATTTAATGTTTATTATACCTCCTAGGTCACATTTGGGCAAGGTATACAACATGGTGTTGAAAAGTTCTTGGCCCAAACCATTTCCCAAATTCAACATTCTGATGTTTGGTCATTGAAATACTAATTTTAGGAAGTGACTTACTGAGAACATTTCAGTACCCTCTCATATCACCTGTCAGTCTTGTCTCCCTATAACTTGCTTCAGAAATCCTTTCACTTTGTATACTGACATTTAAAATATTCTCTAGGTACTTGAAATTCATTGTTACAAAACTACAATTCTTTGGAATGTTTTAAAATTTCTTATTTGAAGAATTCTTAATCTATCAAAGGATTATTCAATTGAAATTAGGAATCCAAATATAGATAAATAATAATGCATTCCAGTTTTTTACGAAGTGATAAATGGATATCCTTGTTCACTCTTCCCATTTGTGTATTGCTTCCATCTTTTTGTTTCCTTGAAATCCATGCCAAAGTAAAGCTTATCAAACCAATTGAGTTTCCTTATTTTTCTTTTTAGAAGAGAGAAACAATAACATATTTTAAATTGAAATATATAGAGCCCAAATTGTTTGTAAACATTGGATTTGATAAATATAGGTTTTGTTTGATAAAATAATAGCTAAGAAATTATGAAAATGAAATTTAATTAAATTAACCATTTGACTGTTTTAACATGGTAAGTAAAATGGTTTTGGAAGATTTGTCTCTGTCAGAAAATAAAGTGAAGTGGATTCTCTTGGTTTGTGATTAGAGAGAAAAAAAAGTCAATAAAATCAACTGACATATTTCTGTGTTTTTTCTTTTCAACCACATGTCACCAAATAAAGATGGTAAAGACATCTCTTAATTTCTTCGTCAAATGTTAACTAATAAAACTATTATGCCTCAATTAGATTTGTGAGGAAGGTGGAGAGGGATCCATCTTGCCGTAATTTAATAAATATACTCACATAAAAATCACATATTTGGGAAGTATTGTTTGTTTGTTTGTTAACACCCACCAATATTACTTCATTTTGTCTTCATATGCTGAACACAAAATACAATAATCCTCAGTTGGTCTGTTCATTTTTTTAACATGTTTGGACCGAACATTCTGCGTGAATTATTAAAAATGATAAAAAATTGGCTTATGTATTTGGAAATTTATTTTTGATGCAAAAAAAAAACAAAAAAACCCACCAAAACTTTAACTTCTTTCATTTCTCTTTAATGTTATTAATTTATAAATTCTACTGTTATCAAAAGTATTACCTGAGGTTTTGTTTATAGATTGTTTTTCTATGGCCAAATGGCTCCAAGACCATGTTTTGAGGTTTATAAGAAACTTTAGATACACAAGTACAAACACGGATGTTGTAAATAATATCAAGTGCTTTTTTTAAAATTCTTAACTATATAAAACCAAAAGTTATATTGCTTTTTTTTTTCTTTTTATCTATCATTGGCAATCAGAATGAAAATTTTAATTTTAAAGGTTATGAAAGCATTTGTATCGCTGCAATGTTCTGTGGTTTTATTTTTTTTAAAGTATCTTGTATTTACAAAAATGTTTATCTTGTAAGTGTTTAAACTGAAAATTGAATAAATATGAAAATGTTTGATAAGAATTCCTATAATTTCCTGAAATGAAATGCCTTGTTTCTTGAATCCAAAGCAATGTACTTATTTGCATACTTATGTAAAAAATGATTTTACTTTCAAAAATTAAACCATAATTTTGTTTTCCTTTCTTTTCTGTGCAGGTGAAGTTGAAAGACACAAAATGGTCGGGTACTAGTTACTCCTGAGCACTGTGGTAGCACCAATCAAACTATTTCCCCAGAATCTACAATGGAGGCCGAGAAGTGTTCTTCATTGCTAAGTCGTTGTCAGCTCACAAAATATTTCACTACTCACTGGTGTTGTATTGTAACTACTTTATCTACTATGACTAACTGTGTTTTTAATACCACCAATACAGTTAGTATTGACTTCTTCTCTTCTCAAGCATATGCTAACCTGTGGTTAAAGAATTGTCAGCTGAATATATATTTGTTTCACTCCTCATGACAATAAGTAAAACAAGTTATCCCCAAGGATATTAACCTTTGCCCCCTGCTTTTTTTTTGTGTATATTTCTTTATAGTCTCCAACCTTGTTCTTGGTTTTGTATTCTGGTAGGACGAGCTGTGTAGACTAAAAGTATTTTTATTGATACTTGTACTAATTCACATCTTCAGTAAACTGGCTTCTTGTGGCTTACAAATTGTGGCCTTAATATTGATAAGATTTCTGATACAGACTCAACACCAAGTCAATATTTCCTAACTTGAGAATAGAATAAAAACTGATTAATTTCTCCTGCTGTTTTTGTATCTCTCTTTCCAGACATGTGAACATAAGTAATTATTATATACCGAGTAAAAAAAAAAAAAAAAAAAAAAACTTTGATAAGGTCTTCTTTGTAATTGGCTATTTTGCCCAAATTCTGAAGATCTTTTGTAGTTTTTTTTTCTTTTTTTTTCTGTGTTGTAATAAATCCTCTTAATATTTAATAATATTTCAAATTTTAGCTAAACATAAAAGATGAAATTCAAAATTATAATTTTGCTTAAAGAAATTTATAAAATATATTTTTTCATCTTCCATAGTTTATTTTCAAATGGATTTGTCTTTGATTGCATAGAAATTTTGACTTTGTGTTGATTTGTCTTTGAGGATTAATTTTAAAATTGAAAATTAAAACAAAATCTGTTAGTGTCACTAGACTTGAAGGAAAACTCTGTCCTTCTTTATAATTCCCAGTTGTACAAATAAAATTTCTGGTTAAACCCTAAATACTGTGGAAAAGAAGATATACATGACAGAAACCCATGTTTATCATTATTCATTGTTTGTTTTTTTTTTTTAATAATTTATTGAATTACTATTTTCAAATGTAAGATTTTTTTTTTTTTTTTTTTTTAAAATAAAACTTTAATGAAGTTTGATGACTAAATTTTAAAAGTTTCTATTTTATTCAATTTAGTATAAATAGTTTCAAACATATTAACCTAAATATTAACAGGTATTTTTTAAGAACTTTTTATTTTTTTTGTTTGTCTAGTCTGACCTTTGAACCTTGTACAGACTTCTTGGATTTAATGGAATAGTTTAGAATGGACCATGCTTTATGGTTTAAGAAATTTAAAAAAAAAATTGTTGCAAATGCTTGAAAGTATGAAATATACAGAAGCAAATATTTATTGACAAATTTTCTTTAACCTTTTATTACTCAATTTGTGATAAGAGAATTTTGTTTAATTAAGTGAGAAGGTAGTTACTCATATAGGAATAGTGAAGACTTTGTTTACAATAATTGTTCATAGAGAGCATAAAAATATCGCTTTATTGCAGTAAAATCCAATTTGTCACACCCAGTAAATGCCAAGCTTATTTATCTTTTTCTCATTCAATCAATAAAAACAAATGTCTATCGAATGGAAAACAAAATCTGTTTAAGCCTAAACATTTTCTTTTTACTGAAATGACTTTACATCCAAATTTGCGGACTGACTTAAGCTAATGTTAAAGACATGTTACCCTTGAGTCATAAATAATAAAAAAATAATCGCAGTGTTCATAGATACTTTTTAATTTATTAAACACTACACAAGTCAATTTTTTAATTTACTATTTTTTAACAATATTTCAAATATAAATTGATAGACTTTTTCTCATGAAAAACAATTTGATTTTTTTCTACCCTTTTGTTTGTTTTCATTTACTCTTAAAACAAATTGTAATAAAGATTATTTTTAAAGGATCAAACTTAATATAATTTGTTTACTGTTAACTATTAATATTAATCACTACTAATCTATTGGTTATTATTAGTCTCTACTAATCTAAGGCAAGTTTTTTTTTTTTTTAATCTGTGTTTGTACTTACAGATGACTTTTTTAATATTTGGCATATATTGTATTACTTTTTTTGTTTGTTATCTGTAAGATAAATGCTTCACTTTTCTCTGTGGTGTTTTTCGAACACAGACAAAAGAAGCAAATTTTAAAATATTTAAGGTTCTATCTCCAGTCGGTTTCCTTGATTAGCAAAGTTGGTCAGTTCTGGTTTCGATTCTACCTCTACGTCCTACCCCTTCCCTACTTCTTATCATTTGAAACTCACTCTTGATGAAAGAGGGTAAACATTTGGATAAGAGAAACAAGGAAACTATTTGGTTGGAGACTAAGATGGGAAATGCCAGCCAATTGAATTATTTAATCATTAAGGATAATTTTGATGATTTAAAATGCATTGTCTTATTTGAAATAACAAAATTTATTTTTCAAAAAATGAATATTATATACACAAACTGCAGCAGGATAGAAAATTGTATATAGAATTTATATCTAATGAAGTAATTCCATGGATTTCATATTGTTTCTCCTTATGATTTCTTGGAATGTTTTAGATTTCTCTATCCTTCTTTGCTAACCAGAATCATAGATTCACTTCAGTTTTCATTAGTGGTAACTTTGAAACTAATTTTAAATTGAATTTAAATAAAATAATTTTATTCTGTTTTCCTTTTAATATCTTCAAAGAATGCAGTTTTGTTTAGTAAATGTTTCTGACAGTCTTTAATCTTTAACCAACACATTTTACACGAGTGTATGGAAAATCACAAATACTTATGACACACACACACACATTTGTTTATAGTTATTTACCAAGCTTAACTTTGGCAAAAGGCTACGAGTATAGGGCACCTAGTGAGGATCAAACTTACTAGTAATGGTTTGTGAGATTAGCTTGTTGTGTGTGTGTGTGCATGCACACTGAAAAGTTCGTGGTCTGATCCATTTTACAAAATCAATAAGTCAATGCCCAAACATCAGATTATAAATTTTGGGAAGTGGAGCAGGCCAAAAACTTTTCAGCACCCCCTTCATTAATCTTTATTGACTTTACAGGTAAAATATTAGAATATGTTAAAACCTGGACAATCTGTATAAACCTTATTTAAATCATTTTATAGGTCAATACCTTCATGTCCTTGTAAAATATGTTATACCCAAGTGATAGTAACTTTTATGTTCTTTGCGTTTTGTTATTGAAGAAGTGCACATGGTAAAATTTCCTTTGTTTGATTCGACCATTGGTGCTAAAATGTAAATGTCAATCTTTTTAAAATAATATTTATAAATAAATGTTATAATAAAAGCATTTTTCAAACAACTCTGGTAGATTTTAAGTGTTTTTTAATCTTTTATTGTCTCATAATGATTTTATTTAATTTTTGAAAATTTTCATTCAAACTCATATTTAAAATTTTGTAATTTAGATAATTTCATTCCCCGCCCCCTACTTTTCTAGCAATTTAGATTGAGTTTTTTAAAGTATGTTTCTATAAATTTAAATTAATTTCATTGGTTTAATTTATTTCTTTTTCATTATTTAATTCATAAGATCTTTTTCATATCTTTAAGTTTATAAAATAACTGGTTGAAACATTAATAATAATTCTTTCCTCACTGTTCATATGCTTGTAAAATCCACAATATCATAAATGATGGGCAGTATAAAATCATTCAATGAAATGTTATTCTTTTATGAATTGTTTTGAGGTGATCAAATTTTCTTTAGTTAATTCTTTTTGTAATTTCATTTCTCTGCTTCACAACATTGCCTTTTATTTTGATACAACAAAAGTCTTTTGCTCTTCTCCCCCCCCCCATGGTAAAAAAAATATGTCAGTGTTTAGGTCTCAATTGTCCTAACCTTGTGGATTTTACAGGCAAAAAATCATTAATGTTTGAATGAAAGAAAATAACTTTTTTAATAGTCAACTTACAAACTTCACACACAAGTGCAAATATTGTAACCAACAAATATTAAAGACAGCTAATTATTTTGTTGCTTTTAACATTGGAAGCATGCAATACTTTTTATTAGATTGATTTTCTTTAACTGCAATCTGTTAACTTTAAGCATTCAATATGTACTCGTAAAATCTGAAATATGCAAAAAGTCAGCATTAGCCGATTTGTCTGATAAAGACATTACCACAGCATATTCTATTCAAATTAAAAAATTGGCATTAATTTTGTTGTATACTTGTAAAATCAGTCATAGTAAATGAGATGGATATGCTCTTGAGTATTTTAAAGTTTCATGCAACAGAAACTTTCTTTACATATTAATAAAGGTTTTCATTTACAAATGTCTGTATTCAGTTCTCAAAATGAAATATAGAACCCTATTTGATACCCCTCCCTCGCTCCAGTTAACCACCTGTACCTGTCAGCTCTTAAATGGTTTCCAATTACTTGTTCAGTGAGCAATAGAGAAATATTTGCATAATTACAAAAGCATGTAACAAAAGTGTAACATGGACAATTAATTATTTATTTTGGCTTGAGGCAAATCTTTTGTCTATTCCCATTGATCTTTTTAGTTCTTTGAAAACACTGAATCTTTATCATTGCTAGAAATATATCTCCCATTATTAAACCAATAGGTTCTTTTGACCTTGAGTGACTAATTCATAGAATTAGAAGTGCTTCAAGATCTGTACTAAAACCAGATGAAGTAGAAGATAAAAATTCAATTTTAGTTGTATATAAAAAAACCTGTTTGCTAGTAGGTTTCTTAATGAAACTGTCCCTCCTGTATATTCCCTTCTCACAAAATAAACACATATTTGTATTTATGTATTAAAAAAAAAAAATCACTCTACATATAGTTTTGTTATTGAGTTGTTTGGGCTGTTTTTTTTTTTTGTTAGTGTCATAGTGATTATAACAATTGTTGCATTGTACACTTC